GAGTGAGAGAGAGAGAGAGAATTTCAAATAGAGATGTGACAGTCATGTCAAATGCTGTAGAGATCTCAAATAAGTTAAGGCAAACCACAACCTTAACATGATTTGGTACAGAAGGTGATTGGTGACTAACGAGAGCAATTTTATAGAATTCCTAGAGGAACATGAATCATCTGTGGGTCAACAACAATCTGGGTTGTGAATAGTGGAATTTTACACTATGAGCTCCTGTGATTTTACTTCTTTCACATGGCAGAGTATTTTGAGGTTCACTCAGAGTCTGGCATGTTTTGGTGGTATGTTCCTTTTGATTGCTGAGTAATATTCCATTGCATGGATAGACAGAAAATTGTTCCTTTACTTGTTGAGATATATTGGATTATTTCCAGTTGTTGTTTTCTTGCAATTGTGGACAAAGTTGCTATGAATATTTATATACCCCCCAAAAGTGAATTATTTTTGAGGTGAGGATGTAAAAACACTGAATGAAAACTAGTCTTATAAGAAACATTGTATAAGAGAAGGTGAGAGGGAGGTAGCCAGATTTTTTAAATTATGATGGAGGAGACATGGAGGAGATTTACAAATATTACTTAATATTTATAATAGTTGAATAATATATTGTTTGGATATTATTGAGGAATTGGGAATGGAGTAGAAGGGCAGAAAGTAGGTGGTCCCATTTTATCCTATAAAGTATAAGATAAAAATGACTAGGAAAGAACAATGTCAGGGCTGTTTTGCGCTTCTAAATTATTATTATCTATTTACTGCAACTGAAATTCAAAGCCACAAAATAAAAAATAATACAGATTGGGGCTTTTCATTTGGAAAGTGTAGTTTATCTGCTCCTACACTGTCCACCTTGGTGGACATGTGTGCATCCTTTCTCCAACAAGACTTTTTCCTAAAACCACTAAAGACTTGAATCTGTGATTCATCAAAATCATCACATAGAAATAACCACATGGGAATGATTAGAGGAAAGAGGTAAATCTTGATATCATCAAACACCTTGAAATTCCTAACACGTCTTCATGATCAGAACCATCATCTAGTGAGAATGTTAAAAAAAAAACAAAACAAAAAAAAAAAAACCACCACGATCATGGTGTTAGAGGTGTTGGGAGGAGCGAGCCAGCACCCACAGGAGCTCATTGGCACTGCCCTCAGGTGAAACCAAGGACGACACAGTGTCTCACTGTCTGAAAAGAAGCTTTCAAACCACTAGCTCCTCATAGCAAATAAGAGATGAAGCCAAGTAAGATGCATCATTTCTATGCCTGAGAAAGTGTCACTACCTCAGAAAATAAAACAAAAAAGGACTTATCTCTGGTCTAAGTTTTGAGTTGGCTAGTACCTGATTAATTATCTTCAGCCTCCTTTCATTTATGACTTTTCCCCCCACATTCTCTCTTACCTTGCTTCATTTGTTTCCAACTTGTTTTATTGATTTCAGAGAGGAATGGAGAGGGAGAGAGATAGAAACATCAGTGATGAGAGAACCATTGATTGGCTGCCTCCTGCATGCCCCTGAGGATGGAGCCTGCAATCTGGGCATGGGCCCTGACTGGGAATTGAACCCATGACCGCCTGGTTCATAGGTCAACGCTCAACCACTGAGCCGCCCTGGTCAGGCCACTTGTTTCCAATTTTATAGCAAAACAACTTGCGATGTCCTCCTCTCCAAGAATAAGTACTATGCAAATTTAGTAAGTAACCACATTGAGGCAGTAAGTCAAGCCAATGGATGGAGAGCCACGCAGGTGAAGTAACATGGTGAAAATGAGATGGGGAGTCACATTATAAAGGGCCCTGAATCCCATTCCAAGGAAGGCGAATTGTATTCTCAAGGCAAACAGCCTGCGCCTGTAGGTTTTAAGCGTGTAATATGACTGAGTATAACTTTAAAGGAAGGAATCTGGGGAAAGATGTGAAAAATCAATCAGAAAATCATGCCACTGGAGCCAGGAGACCAGTTAGAAGTTTTGCCAAAAGCCAGAGAGAAGATGGTGACGCCTGAACACAGTGGCTGGGCTTCTGCCACCCCTCGAGGCGCTTGCCTGCAAAGTAGGAAAACATGTGCCTGGACATAGCCCTGCACAGCTTGGACCCCGTGGCTGGGGCCTTGGTACCGTGTACAACTTGAACTACCACACTTCGTGGCCTTGAGCAGTGAGAACGGAAAATAGAGTCATGTGTTTGATTATGCACAGTGGAGGAATTGTGCATGCTGGGGAAGAAAGAAGGAATTTACAACCTGAGCAATTACCTGGGAGGGACTGCTGCCTAGCTGTGATTCAGTATTCCCCCAAAGAAACATCTTTGCTTATAATACAAAATAAATACAAGATAAAGGAAGAAAAGAATGGACAAGAGAGAGGTCTAAACCAGTCAGAACGGTGGTACTATTTCTAACCCAGAAATCTTTCTTTTCACTATGTTATTAAATGTTCTTCTTGATTTTAAAAAACAACAACCATATGTCTGAGAATAATGGAAAAGATTGAGACACAACTTTGATTAAAAAAAAATGTAAGGCCCTGTAGATTGCAAAGGGTAAACAGTACTGAACACCAACATTATTATGGCTAGTTATGAGAGGGGGGGGGGGAGAGAGAGAGAGAGAGAGAGAGAGAGAGAGAGAGAGAGAGAGAGAGAGAGAGAGATTTAGAAATATTGAGATTGAGAACATTACCTTTGGACCCTGCTCTCCTCGTTGGCCCTTTGGTCCTCTGAGTCCTGGACCACCCTGGCAAACAGATGTTACATATTAGCACAAAGCACTTATTAGCACATCTTAAAGCCATCTATTTCATCCATTTTCCTTAGTAATATGGGTCATGTAATTCCTATTTTGTATCAAGGCCAGCACATTGTGTAATGATATATGTTCATCAGGATCCTTAACTGGAAATTTGCCACTCAGACCCAGCTTCCCTGCTAATGATTTCATAGACTGAGGCAACTTTCTATGTCAAATATTTTTAAATAAAAAACCAATTGTGGTATTTAAAAAATTTTAGTGATGCAAAACTACTACTATTAATGAATGCAAATAATAAAATATGTCCCTAACCTAAAATTGTATGTCTCATGTCTACAACTTTGAGATTATTTAATAGCATTTTTCTTTATATGGTACATGTAAACACATAATATGTATATGTGTATATGTATTCTTTGCAAACATATATTTCTTGTATATATGTGTATAAATATATGTGTGCATATATAACCTTTGAATATTTTCAATTGACTCACTATTTCACTTAACTCAATTTTAAAAGCAAATTTATAGCACTACAGTGAATGGAAAAAGTTATTACTTGCTAAGAATAGAGGGTAACCTTAAAGAAATACTATAAATAATGTTATTCAATTTAGCTAGATTTTGTGCCTATTGAAGTTTTTGAGTCACAAGTTTGCTCTTTGTTAAAAAGGGATAGGCCTGGGGAGAGGGTAGGAGCAGGGTGGAAGGGGTCAATGAGGGGAAAAAGAGAAACGTCTGTGATACTTTCAACAATAAGATATATAGTTTTTGCCAAAACCGGTTTGGCTCAGTGGATGGAGCGTCGGCCTGCGGACTGAGGGGTCCCGGGTTCGATTCCGGTCAAGGGCATGTACCTGGGTTGCGGGCATATCCCCAGTGGGAGGTGTGCAGGAGGCAGCTGATCGATGTTTCTCTCTCATCGATGTTTCTGACTCTCTGTCTCCCTTCCTCTCTGTAAAAAATCAATAAAATATATATATATTTTTAAAAAAAGATATATAGTTTTTAAAAAGGGCGTATTAGAATGGCCATACTGGCACCAGACTGAGAATATCACATTCACCTGAGTAGGATTAAAAGACCATTGAAAATGCAATATCTTTCTCACTATGTGATTCTAATTTATTTTCTCAGATATCCATGACTACTGAAAATCATGTGGGTATGACCAGCTTGTATCACTTAGGAAAAGACTACATCAGATGATCTTTAAGTTTTCTCCCAGCTTGTTTTTTAACCACTTTAATTCTCTCCCTTCCCCAATTTCAATTGGTTGCTTATCTTCCAGACTTTTTGAATATAATTATATAATTCACATGTATATATGTATCTTTAGAAATTATTACCTATAGTATCTTTATGGTATAATTTGATGTATGTAGATTGCAGATGTGACATCAAACTTTTTATATGTGTTTTTGCCTTAATGTTTTAGAGATTTTTCCATAATATAACATTTGGATCTAACTTATTCTTATTGAGTTGCATAGTTGTCCAAGTCATGGATGGATGCATAATAGTTTAATCATTCTTCCACTATTGGAAGTGTAGGCGGTTCCCCCACAAATTTTTGCTGTTTAAACAATAATGCAATTAACATCCCTAAACACACCTTAAATAGAAATGTTAATCTTTAAGTAAAAATGTTAACATTTAAGATAGCAACAAGTACAACTATAAATAAAATTTAATGAATATGCAAATACATTATCAATTGTGCTCCAAAGAAAGCTATGCCATCTGCCAAGAGTTTAAGAGGGTCCTTAGTTCTCTAACCCATAGTATATGATGTTGTCAAACTTTACATTCTTACCAACCGGATTGGTAAAAATAATTCCTTATTCTTATTTTAATTTTTATTTCCCTTAAAGCTACTATGACTGAACATCTTTTCATAATGTTTGTCTATTTGCATTTTCTCTCAATGCAACTACATATGTGTGTATATATATGTATATATGTATATATGTATACATGTATATATGTACATATATACATATATATACACACACACACATATATATATGCTTAGTTTTCTATTGGATTGCATGTCTTTTTCTCTTTAATGTGCAGGAATTCTTCATATATTTGGATACTACATCCTTACTGTTATAGATGATGCAAATATTTTCCCCCAGTGAGGCAGACATTGTTGGCTGGCTACTAAAGAGTCTTTCCTGACTTCTTTCCATTTTATTTCTCCTACTGTAAAGCCTAAAAGAGAGATTTACTTTCCCAGCCTCCTCGCAACTAGGAATGGACATATTAGCCAGTTGCAGCCAATTTGATCAAGAAGCAACAAGCCAAAGAAAAGCAAATTGGAGAGCTGGAACGATCTGGGTCCTTAATGAAGTCGGTGAGCAGCCTCCTTTCCCTTGGGTTCAGCCTCCTTTAAATCCTTTGCTGAGCAGACAATAGTGTCCAAATGCCATAATGGGTTTCACCACTGTGCTAGTCAAGTTTTCTGTTGCTTGTAGCAAGCCCACTGCATCCCAAGTAATATGGCCAACTCTTTAATTCTGTTTGCACATCTTAAATGATTGTGACTAGTTGACTCCCAGATATTCCTTCCAGGCACAGCACGTCTAAAAGCCAGGGACCATTTTACATTTCTAACTTGTTTGCCATCTTAACGCTGACCCTCATCACTCAGCACATGATAAGAATTCAACAAATATTTGTGGATATAAGATTCCATCTTTTAATAAGAAAGGATTAGTCCAGGCAAAGAGACTATGGTTCTTTCATGTCTCTCTACAGCTCTGTACAGTTTTATTGGCACATAATACTACTGTATAAATTCTTGAATGAGAAGATAATCACAACCATGTTAGTCATTGCACAGGGTTTATTACATACTGTTTGAGATACTAGTTCTTAAATAGTTTACTATACTTCAAATATTTTAAAATGTCAATAGTCTTTCTCCGTTTTACACGTTTTGTTTTTCTCGACAAGTCAGAGCTCAACCCTCTCCTTTTACTTCTCTGCTGCTTTCTTCTCGTTACAAAGTTTGACTCTTAGGTCATATGTAAATATCTTATAACTTGTTCCAGCAGTATTGCAAATGAAAAACTTGAAAAGCCTCCAGCTAAAAAGAGCTTATTGATGCCTTTTAAAATAAAATAAACATGATTGTAATTAAGAACTGGATCTTTAAGGACCAAGAATGAAGAAGAAACAACAACAAAAAAAACCCCAGAGCAGCAGGCATGTGCAGTAAGACTGCCCCGGGGAAAGACTGGGAAGATGGTTGAGGTTTACTGCAAAGCCTGTGTTTTATAGCCCACACAAGGCAATGAAATATGAACTTGGGTCTATGATAGGTGGGGGAGGTAGAATATGAAACATTCATGAATGTTGAAGAACTTGAAAGGCTGCACTCTGAATGAGCTAGAAATGGAAATGGCCCACCGGCAGGTGGATGACCACGATGCTGTTTTCACTTTAGCTCTGGCAGGAGGAGGAACTATCTCCCCTAAGAATTACTACCTAGTAGCTGATTCTTATACAATCTAGGGACTAGAATTCACACTGCCTGTGAGGATCAAACTAAATTCCAAAGTGAAACCTAAGGTGGTTTCCAGTTGGTTGTATATGCAGGAGCTTAGCAGAAGCAGGCGCAGACACTCTCTGGAGGAGTATGTTTGAAGCATAGGCTCAAAACAGTCCCAGAGACAAAGTCTCAAATAACATGCAGTCAAATACACAAAACCAAAAATAATCACAAAATATACATGGAAACAAGACAGCATGAGGAAAATCATCAAGAAAACAAACGGCAGACTCAGAACCACATACACTGCGGATTTTAAAATTATAAGGTAAAGAATATACACCAAATTTAATATAATAAAGAAAAATAGTCTTGAAAGTGGTACAAAAGAAGAGACTGTACAAATAACAAGAAAAAAGGAACCAAATATAACTTCTACTAAAGATAACAATCAAAATCATAAACACAATAGCTAAGTTAAATGAAATATTAAATCATAGCTAAAAATAGAGCACACCAGAAGATAAATTTAAAGAAATTACACATAATGAAGCCGGGAGATGCAAAGTAGATAATAAATTTTAAAAAAAGATTAAAAGACATGATAGTAAAATTATGTTATAAAATCCAGCTAGTTGGACTTTCAGGAAAACCTAATAGAGATTACAGCAGAGAGACAAAATTCAAAGAGGCAGTGACTAAGAAAACTCCATAATGAATAAGAACATTGGTATTCAAATTCCTGAAGTCCCAAATTTTCCAAAATGACAAAACAACATCAATATTGTAGTGAAACTTCAAATTATTAAAGGGGTCTTGAAAAGAACCAGAGAGAAAAGATTTCTTTCTCACAGGACGATCATTAATTTGACTGACAGTTGACTTTTCAATAGCAACAATGGAGCTATAAAATGGTGTAATCGCATCTACAAAGTGCTCAGAGAAAATAACTGTTAATCTAGAATTGTACTCCAAGTTTATAGTTTGGAAACTTGTCTGAGTGCTTTGAGGTCAATATTAAACATTTTAAGCAAGATAGGAAGTTTATTATTCTCCTTTGTTAAAATCTGAGCTGAAAATGGGTCCAGTGTAGCAGAGTAGCTTTACCATGTAAGGCGGTATGAAACCTTGATTCCCAACATCTTATTGTTCTGCTGTGACCCAGAATGTTGCTTATCAAAGTGACCTCACTACCACATGCCCCCATTCTAGTCTGTGAGGAAGGGTGAGGTTGGTTAGGAAGGGCATTTGGTTTTCATTTAAAAACAACATCCACGGTTACTTCATATATCTTCTCTCTCATTGGCCAGAGCTTCGTCTTAAGGTGACAGATACTAAGAAATCAAGCCCCTAGCAGAATGCCCATGTGTTTGGCTAAAACTCAAGGGATTCCACATTTTAAAAAGAAGCAGTGGCAATGAATATGGGATGGGTGACAATTAGCAATCTTTGTGACAATCATCAAAACAATCCTTTGATAACATGGGAAATAAAAGCATTTTCAGATGAACAAAATCTGAAAATTTACTATCAACACTCTTTTAAAGAAACACCCAAAGATTATATATATTGTGAAATTACAAACAGAATTTGACAATTAGAGTGAAAAATTTTAAATATCTATCTCTTAATCAAAAGATAAAAAATTAATGCCGATAAAGAAGATTCTAACAACACAAATTTACAATTTCATTTACTGGACTTTATATCTAAAATTCTGAACTTGACAACTAGGGAACACATTCTCCTAAAACCTACAGGGAAACTATAAAACTTTACAAAAGGCCACAAAATAAATACCAAAGAATCAACAAATATCAAAAAATCGTTACTATACAGACTATCTTCCCTGATAAAGTACAATAAAATCAATACATTAACAAGAAAAAGATAAAAGTTGCACACATAATTGAATATTTAAAAAGGTACTTTTAAGTAAATCATGACTAAAAGAAGCAACAAATGAAAATATAAACGATAGCTGACAGAAATATTAAATTTGTCTACATAGAATTAAAATTTCTAGACAATATAAGTTCTCATAAACAACAAACAATCCATGCGCCAGGAAAAGATATTTGAAAACCATATTGTTAATAAAGGGTTAGTGTTCACAATACATAAAACCACCTATAAATCAGTAAGGAAAAAAGCCTGTATAACAAAAACCTAGCAAAGTTTATAAACAGGTAATTTATATAGGAAAAAATCCAAATGGCTAAGAGACATGAAAAACTGGTTCATCTCACTAGCATGGAGGGAGAGTCCTATTTAAATTAAAATAACAATGACACAGGGTTTTACAATCATCAGATAAAGGGAGGCGCTCATATTTGGCAACATCAGAGGGTCTTGGTGAAATGCATGGGAACTAGCTCTCATATAGGATTTGGGGAAGAGGTTATTGGGACAATCATTCCGAGGAGCAATTTGGGGTTTCTTCATGAAGCTGATGATGAACCTTCCTTCTTCACCAACAAATCTAAGTGTTATTTTAAGAACACGCATTCATGTTTGCAAAGAGATATACAAAGAATGTTCACTGTAATAATATTGCCACAGGGAAATACTCCACAGTAATGGGTCAATAAACTGTAGTTTATATAATGGAATACCTTACAGCTGGTACAACAAATAAACTAAACAATGTGCGTTAGCCTTGATAAAGTTCAAAGACATACTTTTGGGGTAAAAAAAAAAGTTGAAAACAAATCATTGTTTTCAATTTCCAGATTAAACTAACGACAACTCTTTACATTTAATTAAAGTTTTATAATGCACAAAATCCTTACATATATATTGTCTTGTATATTCCTCACAATACCAGTTAAAGAAGTGGGTGCTATTGTATATACAAGGAAATTGAGGTTGACAGTGATACAATGACTGGCCAAATCTTACAATTTAAATGTAATGCTTTTACTATTACCACAAATTTGCTTCTTGGGGATAAAAGAACCTTTTTTTTATGTGTGTGGGTTCTACATCCATAGCTTGAAAGAATGTTCTATGTGCCAAAGATAAAGTAGAAACTGCTGGAATATATTTCAAATGCATTCAGCAGGTTCTCTTTGTTTTTGTTCAGTTCAGAAAACGCGGTCCACAAATAAACGAATGTTAGGTTGTTGGTGGTGCCGACCTGCAGTGAAGTTTCCCACTGCAAGCTAGCTGTCAGAGTGGTTACCTACTGCTCACATGCCACCTGGGCTGGCCGCCTCCAGGAGGCCAAGGTACAGATGCTGGCCAGGCGTCAAAATATCCCTCCGTGGCTTCTGTATTTGCTGGTGCACCTTCTCCCTGTTTTCTTTGTCTTCTGCCCTGATGTACTTCTCATTCCCTAACCAGACACCAGCTGTAGCATACTTATACCAAAGAAATACTGCTAACCCAGTTTAACAGGTTAGACAAAAAAAAAAAAGAACATTTAAACATATTACAAAAGATTTATCATGATAAATACAAAGACCCAGATAGTGCAATATTATATATTTTATATTTTACAAATACATGTTTTCTTTTTCTCTTTCCTTCTCTCCCTCCTTCCCTCCCTTTTTTCTCTCCTCCTCTTCCTCCTTCTTCTTCCCCTCCATCCCTCCCTCTCCTTCTCTATAGAAAGTTCCAGTCATGCTCAAATGACATTCTTTTCCTGAAAAATTTGAAATCCTCCCTTCACATATAAATTTTGATAACAGAATGAGAAAGATGAGCATGGAAATATTACAGGTATAAGTAGAGGGCCAATATTTGAAATGTTCACACTGAGAATAAACCACAGGATTTTCAAGGGAACGTTTGGAATATACAGCAGCATGAGTGTTGTCTTGCATAGTGATTAAGAGCATCATCTCTAGGAGGCACAGAGGGGATCCGTGTTCTTTAAGGAAGTTGTATAACATCTCTGTGATTAACTACGTGATTGGCACAATGCAGATCATCTATCAGACACACAAGTGATAGCTATAAATGTTATTAAAGAACATTTAAGCCCAACTAGGCAAGACTTACTGGTGGGCCTGCTGGTCCCAGAGCCCGTTTGCT